CCATACAGCCCCTTACCAATGTAAAATGCTATATGGCATCTAACTGAAATGGACAAATAATTCAAGTTTTCCATGAATATTAGAGATGGGGTTCTCAATCTTTTTCTTTCTGAGGCTCCCCTCCGCCCCAACATGCAATAAAAACTCCCCAGCCTATCTGTGCCACAACAACTGTTTTTCTGCACATGAAAGCCAGGGCTAGCGTTAGGGGGTAGCAAGCAGGGAAATTGCCTGGGGCCACAAAGCTACATTGCTCAGGCTTCGGCTTCAACTCCGGATGGCGGGGCTCGGGGGCCCAGGCTTCAGCCCCATGTGGTGGGGCTTCGGGTTTCTGCTCAGAGTCCCAGCGAGCCTAATGTTGGCCCTGCTTGGCAGCCCCCCTGAAACCTGCTCGTGGCCCCCCCAGGGGGCCCCGGACTCCTGGTTGAGAACCACTGCATTAGCAAATCTTCAAATGAATGGGATTCAGCCATCCTTATGATCGTTTTGCATTCACTGTGCAAGAACATTTGAGCAACTGAGTTTTCTTGGCCTGGGAAGTGGATTTCAAAGTCACAGATGCTTGTATTTGTAGTGGATCATTTAAATGCACATGCTTATCCAACCACAGAACAGAAACAACAAATGTGATTTATTCCAACACTCACCTCTAAGCAATGCAACTTGAATTTCTTGATCAAACCACAGAGTAAAATATTTTGACTAGATTTCAGAAAATCGCAGATATTTTGGAAGCAGATAGAGAGGCTACGTTAATCGAATAGTCATTCTGAATTATTTTACTCCACGGGGAACATGCTTGTGAGCTGATAAGTAAGAATTATTTTCCTGATTTTACGGGAAAAACTGAGATGTACCACGTTATGTAACTTGTCCAGGGCCAGCAAGTCAATGGCACTTTTAGGCTTAGAACTCAAGCTCTCTCTTGAGCTTTGACCAGGCTTGTAAGCACAACACAACAGTATAGGATCAGAAGAGAAGAATTCTTTATCCAAATACAAATGCAGGTAGAGTGTAGAGAGGAAGAATGCAGGAATCCATGTTGGAATATGGCCAGGAAAGCTGGGCCAACATCCCTACTCTGGGCCAACATCCCTACTCTTCTTAAAAAATGGCAAGGAATACTTAATGACTGAAAGGATTCATCATCTTGGGTTTACTTCTCAAAGCCATGTATTCTCAGTCCTCACAGCATGGTAAATCTACATCTCCCCTCTTCACAAAGGCCAAATTAATCACTGGTTAAACTCCATTTAATCCAATTATTATTGTTCAGTGCAACTTTTTTGCCCTGCTCTAAAAAAGCTTAGTAGTAGTATTAAACATAAATTATTATTGTTCTGGGCAAATTATTTACCTTGCTCTGTTAAGCTTACAGGCCTTTCACTAGAGATCAGTTTGACCCAACACACTTTTCCCATTTTTGGTGGGGAAATTAACAAGACAAAGTATTTTTTCCTTAGAGAGTGAGAAAGAGAGAGAAAAGTTCACTTTCTTATGTCCAAAATACATATTTAATACCATAATTTTAATCAATATTGTCTTGTTGAAGAAACCTGCCAAGTACTTCGTAGTGCATTTCAGAGAAAAGAGCACCATACATTAACATATAATACAGACTTTTTCAAGATCACTGATATTCTTATTGTCTGACATAGGGTGTAGGTGTTTGTAATTATATAGCTTCTTGATTTGGTGCCTATCTAGATTGTCCCATTCATGATTATACTTTTGATTGGTACCTATCCAGATCATCCCATTCATAATGTGATATACAAGCTGAGATGGAGGCAGGCAGGCAAAGCAGTAATTAAGGGAATACCAGAAGTGCTGTTTCACATGACAGGAGCATTTCATATGCCTAGTATTCTTAGAAATTCCTCAGACAGTTTGGTCTGCGAATACATATCAGATGCCCATTGGAAGTGTCTCCTTTGGGGTTGACTCCATCTATCTTAAAAATAGAGCTGAGGAATGCGTGCACAGTGAATCTGGAGATTTGCAAATCTAACAATCCATTAAGTGAGTGCTAAATTTGTGCTAATTCTTAGATTTCTGAAGGATTAAGGGTGCACAGTGTTAATATTTAGAGGTCTAGTCTCTTATGATAAATATGCGTAGCTCATTAATAGGAATGGACTTTACACATGTCTACATGAGAAAACAGACCACTAAGTTATTAGTGTACACACAAAAAAACACTACAATTAGCTGACATTTTAGCCACCCTAACGCAGCCATATAGCACCCTAGCAGCCTTAGAGGGGCAACTCCTTTTTCCTATAAGCAGTAGAGCAGGCTCTGCTGACACAGATGTCTCTCATAAGTTTCAGAAATGGGGAGGGGGGTGTTTTCATTTTAAATCACATTAAGGTACAGCAGCATCTCATTTATTATTTGTTGCATAACAGTGTGATAAAATATTATAGAACGAAAGGGAGGCGCATTTCCAATTCAGAAATATATAGATCCTTAGTGTTTTATTAGAGTTTATCTATTGTTGTGACATTTCCCATAAGTTCTGTAAAACATCAGCCTACATATGGAGATTGCCATGTACCAAATTATAGGGCCTGATTCGGCAAACTGCTGAAGTCAAAAGGTATAGAGGTCACTCAACAGCACCACTGGACCTCTAGTTGCACATGAAATGGATTAAACTGCAGACTTTGTAAAATGTCAACTAGTTGTATTTTATTTGTGTATTTTAAAGGTCAGCATAAATACTGAAGAATGTTTCTGTTTTAAACAAAGTAACTTTTAAAAAGCCTTCACCTGGAAAATAGTCTTTTGTTTCCCGATTAAGAAAGGAAGAAATTAAAGCATTATCTGTTGCTTCAGAAGAAGTTTTATATGTTACATGGCTCTAACAATACCAGATAAAAATCAAACATTATCCGACATTCTTGTCTCCAAGGAAGGAAAGTAGAGCTATAATCTCACAGAAAAGTACCAGTTCTTCTTGGGTTCCAAATCAGATAACTGCTGTTATTCAAATGGTACTGACTGGTAGTTCAAGGCAGCATGATGGGCTATGCACTAACTTTCCACCTCGGTAAAACTGGGTTCAAAATTGGCTTTTTTGCAAATGAAAACGAAAAGAGTGATCCTAGTCTGATCTCTGGGTTATGTCGGTGCCCATTACAAAACCACCATACAACTATTAATCTGTGCACAGTAGGCCAGTGACTGTAACAACAGGTCTACGCTTAGGTGGCTTGGCAAAGTTCTGAGAAAGCTTGACAGAAATTTCATTGCCTAGCCACAGTCTGAGCCAGTGCTTAAACCTTTACACTTAAGAACAAATTTACCCCCAGGGTTGTTTTTTTTTAACAAGGAACCTGGCATTAGTGGTACAAAACCTATTCCCAAAACACCAAGAAACAGCTCTGGAAATTCTTGAAGAGGAGACCAAAAACTGAGTCACAATGAGAGGGGAAGAAGACTTTACCACAGAGAAAACGGACAATGTTAAGCAGTACTGGTCAAAAGTTCCCTCTCCCATTCCTTTATCTCCAGTCTTGAGATTGCATTTAAGCAGTTCTACAGTCTTTCATCACTGCTCTCAATATATAATTATTTCTAGGTGGCCTGGGTTTTCTGCAATGGAAATTATTTACTGTGCTGTTAAGACATGTATATGTCTTGGCTGAAAAGGCAGGCATTCCCAGTTGACAAACTCTCACTACATTACAATTTATTTTAATATCTGAAACCATTATTCTGCTCTTCAGTTCCATCCATGTACGAAACAAATACAACTCTCAGCGTATCCCTTTCCACAAAACAGGAAAGGAAGTAGATATCAAATATATATACTAATCATAGAAGGTTCAACAGGTGGACCAAGGGTATGATCATTAGAACAGGCATGGGTTCTTTCAGACATGCTCACACTTCGGAAAGTGAGAAGCACTGCCAAGTTTTGTGACGGTTTTGGGGGGTTTAACTAAGATTGAAGCTATGTGGGCAATTCACAGCACATTTCACATGCAGGTCTTATGCAAAGCCAACTTTACAAACTAATAAAGGAGAACCAGAAACAAGGGGTTGAAAGTGCATAAGGCAGATAACATTGTGTCCAAAAGCATAATAAAGTTAAGCAGTGTAAAACCAAAGCCAGAACCACACAGTGTTAACCAGAGAGAGACCAAATTTGACTTGCGCTCTGGGTTCTTTTACTAAGTTAGCTTGTTAAACTCTTGCAGCTTAATTCAGTTTCAGTGCATCGTTTGCGAGGTCTAAAACACAGATACTACAGAAACTAGAAAATACAAGGTCTTCAAAACTCGTAGATAATATCCATTATTCTGTAACTGCAGCTTTAAAACACCTGCTTTAAAAACACATACAACTTACATTTTCAGTGAGTCATCACATCTGACTGGCATTGCCAAGGTTCCCAAATATGTTTAAAGGTACAAACAGGTTTAAAGTAAAGTAATACGTTTAAAGTAATATGAGTCCTATGTAGAAAGACACAGATTTACTTTAGAGTAATCAAAGATGACAGCATTATGAAAACAGAAAAGGACTTTTACAGAAAACTCTCAGTCTGTAAACCTGAGAAAAAGAAACTTACAAATAGACCTATTCCTGCTTACAAAATTATATATGAACAAAACTGACTAAGATGGGTTATATGAATTGCAGCCTGCTGATAAGGTCTTGTTTGATGGAGTCTCGTTCTGACTAAGCCTGCGATCATTGCAAGCCCCATTTTGCCATCACAGAACAAGAGGAGAAAAAAACCCACACTGTATTTTACTTGCTAGTTTTCTTTTTGCTTGGAAGCAATAGGCTTAAAAGAAAACCACAACAGCAGCAGCAAGTGTCCAAATAATATTGTTGTAGAGATAATCATTTAATAAGAAGCAGAATAAAAGAACTTGAAATAGAACCAATTCTTTAAAGCAGAAGTGCTTTACTGTGACTGTTTGTATTTCCTGAGAAAGTCACCCTCCAGAGAGAGAAGCCTTAGTTATTGAACTGCCTCTTACCTGAGCTGATCATACTGTGCATTCTTTGCTGAGCAAAGAGCTGTTCACGTCCAGAAACTCCATCTGAGGAAAAACACGATTCGCTCTCGTAAATTGTCTGCAGCATATTCCAATCAGTCTGTACTTCAGCTACATGAAAGATTCATCACTGTACCATACAGGGGCGTCAGGAGCGACCCTCTCTAATCCTACCTCCTTCACAGTGGGGTGGGAGAAATAATAGACTTTGGTAATTAACAATATTTAAGCATTTGAATAAATATCTATTTAAAAAACAAAAGGACAATCCATTTTTACTCTGCCCCAGTCTGCTGCAAAATAATAAGAAGGACTCAGTGGACTATGCACCTCTGAGTTGGAATAGTTGTGTTCTGGAAGCCAATAGCAGGTGGATGAAGAAATGTATTTGTGCTTCAGGCTTTCTTGTGGAGTGGTGGTGGGGAGAATAAAGCCACTTTAAAAAATAAAACCAAATAAGCACCGTTTCCAGGGACTTCAGCCCCTAAGGGCTTAGTTTCAATTACCCTCAGCCTTGACAAGTGTTTCTGTCTCTGTGCCCTCCTCCTTTCTCTCTCTCCTCTCCGTCTCTCCTCTCTCTCTATCTCCCTGGCTCTGTGTCTCTGCAAAGTTGGCTGAAGCTAGTGATAACTCATTTGCATATGAATCAACAACAGTGTGGCCCACAGGCAACAGAAATAGAACAATGGCCAGCCTGAGCCAAAAATAGGTCAAGCATGGCCCAGTGATTGGAGCCTGCATTAATGCACTTAAAAATACCACAGCAAACACAGCTGTCCAGTCTCTATCTTTCAAACTGCAATTCTCTTGCCAATCCTCAAAAGTAATTAACCCTTTCCCACTGTCAAACTTATTTGTGCACAAATGTATGTTTGTGAGCAGCTTTTCAAGCAAGAAAAGAAGCAGGAGAATATAAATTAAAATTCTAGATTTATGTTTGATTTCTTTCTCCTTCGATCCTCCCCATGGGTATTTTGTGAAAAGAGAACAAAATGAGAAGGGCTCTGGATTGGTTCTAAAATAATACTGGAAGCTTTTGCTCATAATGTGGTTTCTGCCTCACCCACGCACAGCAATCCTGGCATTCTATTTTTGTTGCCTGTTTCTCTGGCTACGCTGCACTTGGCTGTAGCACTAGAATCTTGCTGCTGTCTTTTAGTTTCAGGTCCTACAGTAGGCTCAGAAGCAGTGGCTTCTGAAACCAATCAGACTGCGGTGGGCGGGGGGGCATGTTAATGAGGGATCCATTTTTTCACTTTCATTATAAGCAGTTTGTTCATTTTTAGTATGATTGATATAGTCCTAATGTCTGTTTTCAACTGCAGTACCGCATATTAGAGATGCGCTATTCTAGTGATTTATTAGAATTTGGACAAGAGCTGCACTAGTCTGCCTCTCTCACAGCTTCAGCTCTAAACAATTTTTATTGCAGTTATCTGAGTTTAAAAGGAAACGTGGACTCAAAATAGCAGCTTTTAGACTTTCATAGAAATGTTAAAACTACATGTTGCTGTGCATCTTGCAAGCTACTGTGTGATGCAATGTCAAGTGTGGCTGTTGCCTGCTCCCTTCTTACTCCCAAGAATTATTTATTTGCGTTTTAAAAGGTAGATGGGGCAGATTATATTTGCTAATTAAGTACAAAGGTCATTATACTTGCACACACCGAAGTAGATAGTAAGTCAATGTTACAGATGATACACTTGGTTTCTTTTGGTTCAGTATTGCTATATAGAGTTTGCTATATGTACGCAAATAGTGCAACATTGTTCTAGGCAAACCATATCAGTTTTTTAATAGACCATATGAACAGTATAAACTAGCCACAAACCTCTCAAGAGGTACATCAGAGTATTCCAGTTCTGAGAAGGGGAAGGCAACCACAGCAGGTTAGTAATAACCCTACTAGAAAGTCAAATAAGGCAGCAGATGCACATGTTCAATTGTCCTTATGAGACTCAACTAATCTCGGAGCCATTTCAACCATAACTCTTTTCTCTCTTGGAGGTGCAAGGTTACTAAACTGAACTATGGATTCAATTCTGCTCTTAGGTCAAGTGTAGAGAACTGAATTGTTTGTCATTGAACAAACAGGATAGAACTAGTTTCAGCACAGACAGTTCAATGCATCCACACTAGTCATGTTGATTCGGTCTATAGACCATTATAGTTGTAACCACATATTCGAACTAGCTTTGTTCTAAATGTTTCAGTTGCAATGCCCTATGGGTAACCATCCCGTAGTTCCCCGCACAGCTCCCAGAAGTGGATTCTGGGACATTTGTATAGGCCACAGATGCACTGAGGGTCAGTAATGGGAGGCCTGCTGGAACAATTTCATCCTGCATTCACAGTCTGGCTGCCATTCTGGTCAACCTTGTTTTAGGGTCCATACAAGGTTTTTTATGTGGATTCTATATCTCAAGACCATACATTTTAAGAATCTGTCTGATGATGACCCTCTATCACTGCTGAGCATATTGAAATATTGACTTTTCATTCCACGCTCACCACCACCCATAATCATTAAAAGAGTTTGCATGATTTGGGGCATACAAAATCAAGGCAGAAGAATTCTAATAAGTGAAATGCAGGTATTTAATATTTGCAATATCAATCAATAGCAATAATTTTTGAGTAATAGGTGTACATGAGGATGGGAATTGGGAGTATAGCATGGACCTCAATTATCATTGTATATAGTGACCACTCTTTTTAATGTAAAAAATATTCAACACACACACACACACACCAACAAAAGAATAATAACTTATGGAATCATTATAAATGATTACTAGTGTTCTCTCTCATTCAAACTACAGTTGAGTGTCTGCATATGAGTAATACCACTGACTACTTGTCATAGTCGTTTTCATCTGCAAATGCTAATGCTGATTTTTTCAGATCATTGCAACACACTACATCTCCTTGGCAAGCATACAATATGGTTGGGACTGTTACATCTACATTTCATAGACTTACAAGGCATATCACTCTCACAAGAGTACTTGATTAACTTCAAAATATATGGAGGAGAACATAAGAAAGACCATACTGGGTCAGACCAAACGTCCATCTAGCCCAGTATCCTGTCTTCTGACAGTGGCCTATGCCAGGTGCCCCAGAGAGAATGAACAGGTAATCATCAAGTGATCCATTCCCTGTCGCTCATTCCCAGCTTCTGGCAAACAGAGGCTAGGGACACCATCTCTGCCCATCCTGGCTAATAGCCATTGATGGAACCTATCCTCCATGAATTTATCTAGTTATTTTTTGAACCCTGTTATAAGCAAGCATGACATTTTCTGGTACAGTTTTTAAAAAGAGAGACTTGGAACTGGCATTGTGCATTCATCCATACTGCATTGGATCAAGTGCTGGTGTCTCTGGATCCAAAGCACTTTTCCACACACATGCTTGAAGATGTACTCATTTTACATTTACTATAAATGCTTCAGTTGTAAGTGGTAGGGAACTGGTATTTGGTGTTGACATTTGCCATTTTTTGCTGCCCATGATTTCTATCATGCTTCTGACATGGTGGCACAATTTGATTGTCCATAGCATGCAGCCATAAATTTCAGTGACATCAGGCATTGCTGCACTGATGTCATCCAGAAGAGGGAGGGTGCATCCAGCTCACAGAAACTCAAACATAGTGCTTTTGCCGAGGCCAAAATAGGAAACTACGGTATCACCTGAGAGTGCATGGGCAGTTAACAGTCCTGATACAATGTTCTGGTGTTGCTCGGCAGGAGCACGGATGTCTATTACAGCTCTCTCTTGTACTCGGGGTTCCAAAATCACTAAAGATGTTAGACTCTGTTCAAAGTAGTGGTGCAAGAATAAGACAAATATGTCAGTGTCATCTGATAATAATGATATTCCCAATAGATTATGTTTTGCAACCATCACTCTTTGTTGTGCAAGGATGTTGTTGGCTTCCTCATGAGAGGTGGCCATATACTCTCTATTGATCACCGCATCTCCCTGGTTTATTTCAGCTGGGGTGTTGTCATTGCCTGTGTGCTTTAATGTGTGTCGCTAATGACATTTCTTGTCTTGAATGAGTTTGATACAAATGATGCCAATCAACTGTGTCTTATTTTCAGTTACTGTCAAGTAAACTTTCTGTGGAGGAAGCTGTTTACTTGTACTCAACTGATGCACTCTGCTTGTTTCTGTAGCTCTGCTAAATCTTGTGCTGAAGTCTTTGTACCTTTCAAAGACAAGGTATGTATCACCTACTGTTGCCTTGTGTTCAATGTAATCTCTGAAACTGGTCACAAGTCCTTGATGATACCTCTTGCTGGATAGTGTATTAGCCAAAAACTACGGAACAGTCAATAATTATGCAGGTGACCTCTTGTGAAGTATGCTTCTCTAGGTTAGACATAGCATGTATCATCATTATGTCACCAGAGCCAGTGAACATTGAGGTTGATACAGAAGCCAACTCACATGACAAAATATTCTTGATGTTCACCCCTGGTAAGTGTCTTGTAAGCCTATCACTCTTGAATAGATAAGATTAGTATCAAATATCTTTGTTGGACCAATCTGCACATGCTTTTTTTGTCACTGCTAGTGTCTCTGTTATCCTTGGTATTGTGTCATAGAACTCTTTGGTCAGCCATGTTCAAATTCTTGCATTTAGCAAATTCCAATTTTAAGTGTGTCAGGTACATTAATGGATAGTGGTGTCATTCCACCACTGACAATGTTTACTATTGCCTTTGGGTGCTTAGTGGGGTGTAAAGGATTGATGCACAGCTCTAAGTTCTTACTATGGCTTCTCTGTCCCCTGCATCTGCAGCTATCCTTGACTTCATTTCTTTGTAGAGCTCTTGTATGTGCTTCATTGGTGCTCTTTATGTCTGCAATGTCTTCCACCAGCCAGCTGCATATGTGGAGGCTAAGAATCTAAGTCTTCAGGGTGATCCCAATGATGCCATTAGGGCTGTAGCCATATCTCATGAATGTGGTTTCAATGTACATGTCACTCCATATGCCATTCCATATTCCTGGAACATGGTGCACGACATACTCACCCTACATAGACCACTCTAAGATGTCACCTGACATGGATTCCTTGGATCACAAGTAATTGACATGTCCATCTACAAAGCCATAAAGCAGCATCAGTTTCATGACTTCTAGATGCAGTGACCCATTTCCTTTTCTCTCTGCTCTTACATATATAATGTTGTCTTGGTTTGGGGGAAAAAGAGGAATGTACTAATAAGCTATACAGTTTATACAGACACAAATACAGATATATCATTTATACCTCCTAGTTAATTCTGTTCCATCTGTTCTCTAGTGTAGAAAAAACTTTTGTCACACGTATGTCACAAAGCCTTTGAGCCATTCAGAGTATGTGGCTCAGTTTCCTAATTCAGTGCCTCAAATCAGCAAATCCTGTATTACAGAATACCACCTGAAGGGTAAGTTAAAAACAGTATACAGTATAGAATGTTCATAATTTTCAAACCTAGGTGCCTAAATTCATATTTAGGCTCCTAAATAAGTGGACTGATTTTCAGTGGTACTGGGCATTCACAGGTCCAGTTGACTTCAAACAGGAGTTAGGGAGGCTTAGTTAGGGAAAATCAGAATATTTTGTAAGAGTATAAATATGCACTTGAGTGCCTAGCTTGAGGCAACCTTAATTTTTAGCATACATACATAAAAACATAAACATACTATGCTATCTAAATTATCTAATTATTAT